GGAGCCCTGCCCTGAGTCCTGGCTGATGTGTGTGCTTGTGCCCTGAATGTTCACTGTGAGTAGAACACGTCACATAACATTGTACTTAAGGCACGCCGTCGTGTCTTTTTGGAGTTGTGGCTCCACCTTAATTTTAAACTTTTTTTTTTAAAAGAAAGAATTATTTTTCAGATCAAGAGAAATAGAATACTTTAATCAAAGGGTAATATAGTAGGTTAAACTCTCTGATGGTGATGTTATCCTCTGCCTTACCAGCAGGGTCAGGAACCTTTTGTGTAGAGGGCCAGGAGGTCAGTATTTCAGGCTTCGTGCTGTGACTTCACTTTGCTGTGGGAGTGGTAGGGTGGGCTGGGCAATGGCAGTCCGGTCACTTAGCCAGAGGGTTAATAACTGTTTTCCTGTGGGACATGCTGATCACTAAGCACAGTGATAGAGTCTGCTGCAACTTCATCTTCAGATTAGGGCTCAAGTCTCCCAGCCGCCCCAGGCTAGGTTAGTGGAGAGCAGAGAATTCAGCATGGATCTATCATGATGGATTTTTTAAAAGTATATTTCTTGACCCCTCCATTGTGCAATTGTAGAAACAGGATTGGTTTTTCCTACTAGGAATGGCTAATGGGACACGGAGAAATAAATCGATTTTCTTTGAAGGTTAAAGGATTTGAAATTATACAAGTAGGTGCCCTGTTGAATGACTTTTAGTACATCACCACAATCCTGTAGTTTCTTCGCTCTCAAAACCTCTTTCTCCACCAAATCAATCAGTGTCTCCTATATCTTGCTTTCTGGGCTTCTGTACATCCACTTTCTGTGTCTACAGAGTGACCTTTTCCAAAAACGTCACTGAATGGAAAGAAACTACAATATGCAGTCTGTTGTGTTTGCCTTCATTCATTTACTGTAAAGTTTTTGAGGATCACCCTTGCTAGAGAATGTATTGGACGCATCTCTGTCCCTTAATTGTAATTGCCAACTTGCTGGATGAAAAGACTCTTGGGAAGATTGAATCATGGGAGGCGGGCGCGTATACATTAGTGGATTAATCCACTATAGCCATAGCTCAGTGTGCTGTGAGAAGGTGGCCCACGGGCTGCCTTGGGAGGGCATGTCTCTCTCGGGCCCTCTGCCCTGTGCTCTGCTTCCCAGCCACATTAAGTGACCGGCTTCACTCCACTAGCCCTTCCGCCAATGATGTTTCTGCCTTGGAGCTGCCCAGCCATGAGCTAAACCCTCTGAAACCATGAGCCGAAGTTTCATTTCTGTTCCTTTAAGCTAGTATGGGAAAAGTAATACAATATTGGTTGGTTTATTTTTTTTTAATTAGTTCTGAGGAATTCCCTTGTGTGGATTTACAATATTTTGTTTGTCCCTATACCAGTTGATAGACATCTGAATTGTTTCTAGTAATTGGCCGTTATGGATAATGTTGGTATAAATACTTACATATAAAATGTTAAGATTTTTTTTTTCTCTTCAGGAGGTAAATATCTAGGAATTGAATTGTTGGAGCATGTGGGTTTTTTAGCTTTTTAAGAAATGACTAAATTGTTTTCCAAGGTGGATGTTCCATTTACATTCCCCAGTTTCTCTACATCCTTTGAGAGAGTCAGCCTTTTTTCTTTTTTGGTACCGGGGATCAAACTTGGGCCCTTGCACTTGTGCAGCAGGCAGCGAAACCACTGAGCTAAATCCCTGGCCCTAGTCAGCCTTTTTATTATAGCCAGGAAATCACTTGCTGGAAAAGAAAATGTCACTTCCATGAACCTCATTTTTGAAGAAAGGGATGCTACTGCAAGATGGCTCTAATGATCAAAGGAGATGAGAATTTATGTGCAAGCGCCTAGCGTTGCAAAAAATGTTACTGGTGATTGTGTACAGAAAAGTCTTTAGTTGTTAAGCTTAACACTCACGGTATAAGTCTCAGAGATTAATAAAATGTTTTAATAAAATGTGTATGCTAGAATTGAACACGTTCCACTTGCTTATAAGGGCAATTTTTACTCAGATTGCAAGGTTTCTCCTTATGTTAGGTTGCCTGTATTGTATGAGAAATTATCAGCCTTATTGAACAATGACAGATGGTAATGGTTTGCATATGGTGGGCAAAGTTTTCTTCCCCACTCTGACTTGGATGGTCTGGTACATGTCTGCTTGGACTTCATCTTCAGATGTCTGCGGTGACCTGTTTTGGACCTGGGAGTATATGTTCTGTTCTCATGGAATGGAAATGGGAAGATTGGGGTCTCTGAGAAATTGGGGGCCAAGAGCAGTCTGTGCAAAATTCATTGGCAGTCTGACTTCTGTGAAGATTGCGCGATTATTCTTGTCAGAGAACAAAGTGAGTGTTTTGAATGCATTTCCTGTCTTCCTTTTGGAAGACAACTGTTCATTCTAGATGGAGGGGAACTGGCCAGCAGGCACAGGTTGGGAATCTTGTAGAACTGGCTTATCAGCAGCTCTTTACACCTGTTGAAAAAGACCTTTGGACACAGAAACTGAAGCCGCTGTTTGATCATGGAGCGCTGTGTCAACAAAGGGCTGCGCACTGCTTTCACAGGGGAAGGAAAAGAGGACCACACAAGGCTCTGAGGAAGGCAGAGCAACCGCTTGCTGCAGAGTATGTTCAGTGTGGCCTTGGGAAGGTGGGAGGTCCATCCGAATCCTCCTGACAGCTTCTGTTAACTTGGTGATGTTGTGTAACGAAGTCTTAATTCATTCTCCTAATAGACACTCTTAACACATGGGAAAACAGGTATGTGAAATCCTTTTTGATGAAAATGACACAAGTGATGGTCATAGCACACAGGAAGCTGTGGGATTAGCTTCTGGGATGGAGATGCACTGTGAATTGTGTCATGGCAACTCAGAAGGTGAGTCGGAAGTCTCACCTTACATGACTTTGGAAGGGTCCTACTGTGTGGATGTGTGTGTTTGGAGCTATTTCGAAGCTTTCAACTGTTACAGTCTCTGATAGTGAATTAAAAAAGAGGGTGAGCAAAGGCATTCAGGCGCTTGGAAGCCTTTGCCAGGACATTACAAATAGTGCGGTTAGGGTGCGGAATGAAATTTGAGAGAACAGCCTTGCGATGCCGGAAGTAAATGTGCTCTGGGAGCAGCTGTGTGTGAATAAAGCAATCAGGCCTGACAGGCAGTTGTGAGTGTCATTCTTTCCATGTGTTAGCAGCGTCTCAGCCCAGAGCAGGAGTCAGAGGAACATGACCAACTGAAGGGGAGAGGGAAGCTCAGCCTGCTGGGGTTAATGTGTGTTCTTTAAATAGGCCGCCTTCGGGGTTTCAGTAGGAACAGCTCATTTTCATTTTGGACATGATTTTCCCTGTGATAGTGGAGGATTCCATTTTTGGGGGCGATGGTTCAAGAAGTGTGAATGGAAAACAATAAGAACCAAGATGCATCATGTAAAGGTACAATTCCCAATGAGAAATGTAATTGTGTTCTATACCTACAATGTACCAATAAAGTATGACGTGAAAAAAAAAAATGAAGAAAAAACAGAAGTGTGAATGGGGTGAACCACTGAAAATTCCTGTAACCTGGGGAAGCGAGTGCTGTGACTGGGGAGTTAGGAGAGTCACGGGACTCCCCGGGGAATCACGTGACTCAGTCAGCGGGAAAGGAGTCTGTTCAGTTTCTATCTTGGGGCCTCCAGATGCCTGGATCTTAGAAATGCTTGTAGAGCTGCATGAGCCCATGGGCCCCTGCTTCAGGGGCCCCACGGTCTTGCTTAGCTGGTTCTAAATGCTCTTCTCCAACTCAAGGTTGACTTATTAGGAATCCCACGTAATGGTGGGAACAGAAAATGTTTAGGTCCTGGCTGATGGATTTTTTTTTTTTGGTACCGGGGATCGAACTCAGGACCTTGCGCTTGTGAGGCAGGCACAACACCACTGAGCTAAATCCCTGGCCTGACTGATGGATTTTTAAACAAGGTCATCGTTGACTCCAAAGAAAGCTATGAGGTGAAAATTTTATACCTTCTTAAACTTTGCTTTTTAAGAAAATGAGCAAAGCTAGGCATGGTGGTGCACTCGGGATGCTGAGGTAGGAGAATCGCTACAAGTTCAAGGCTAGCCTGGGCTATGCAGTGAGTTCAAGGACACCCTGAACTACATAGCAAGACCATCTCAAAAAAAAGAAAAAACAAAGAAGAGCAAATCGTTAATGTGTTAAAATTGACCATTTAAAGTGACCTCTTTGTTGTTATATTTTAATTGTTGGATTTACGAATGCATTCAATGTGTTTACATATTATTTTAAGGAGGCAAATAGACTTAGTGCGATGTGCGGAAAGAGCATGGGGCTAGGAATTGAAGATGTTTGTTTTGATACCTACCTGGGTCTCTGCCTAGGTCACTGGTTATTTACCCAGTGGGAGAATAAAAAACAGAAATGGAGCCAGGGCCAAAAAATAGGCCTAAGGGTAATACAACAGTGCAGCAATTGCAATCTTTTGGGACCCATCCCAAAGGTCATGGTGCGTTGGGTGTCTGATGGGAGCCTAGCGATTTCCTGCCAGCCAACTGAGTTCCTGAGTAGCTGACGTGTAGATCTTGGTGCAAGTAGGGCACCATGGGAGGGGCCGCATGCTCTGCAGATGGCCCAGTGTGGCTTTACCTGGGAAGATGGGAGCCACCAGGGCCCAAAGAGTTCTCAAAGAGGGGGAAGACGGGCAGTGCCCTGGTTAAACTTGAGGTTCCTGGAGCCCAACCGCCTGGGTTTGTGTCCTCTCTGTCTTGGGCTGTGTACTTTACCTGTACGCCTGTTCTCCCACCTGGAAAATGAAGCCATAGTAGTGCCCGCCTCCTAGGATGCTGGTGAGAGGCAGACGAGATTGTTCAAACAAATGCGAGTCCCTCATTGCATGAGAAAGACGTTTGCTTTTCCAAGTGACTTAGCCAGTAAGAATCATGGTCATTTTGAGAGTAATATTTGGCTACAAGATAAAATGCCAACTCACAGTTAAATTGTGTTTCTTCTGACAGGGAACGCGGGTCTGGCTGAGAGAGAATGGCCAGCACTTTCCAAGTACTGTAAACTCCTGCGCAGAGGGCGTCGTGGTCTTCCGGACAGACTATGGTCAGGTGAGGACATGTCTCGTGCTTCCCGGCATCCGCTTCTGCTTTGTTTCATCACAGGGCAGGTGTGCTTCACACACACGCACGCATGCACGCACGCACGCACCTCTTGAGTTGTTTTCTTGGTGATAAATCAGAGTCCCAGGGGGCATGGGGACTGTCCGCACTGAGAGTGTGGTGGATGTGAGGAGCAGTTTCCGGGCTCCTTTCCACCTATCTTTCCCACCTCCTTCTGCTTTTTCCCAGAACCAGAAGTGTGGGATGCAGATAGTATATGAGAACATGTTCAGATGTATTGATATTTGACAGTTGATTCCTTTATCACTTTCTTTTAAAATTGTCCTCCTCCTCCTCTTCCTCCTCCTCCTCCTTCTCTTCCTCCTCCTTCTCTGCCTCCGTCTCCTCCTTTGCCTCCTCCTCCTCTCTTTGTGGTGCCAGGGATCGAATTCAGGGCCTCATACATGCCAGGCAAGCACTCTACGTCTGAGCCTCAGCCCCAGCTCTCTCTTGCAGGTCTTAAACTTCCGTAATTTTTCAGTCTGTTATGGGCTCTGATGTCAGAATACCATACCATGCCATGGACGGGGTGGCTTATAAACAGTAGGCTGTGCTTCTCCCAGTTCTGGAGGCTGGAAAGCACAAGGTCGCAGTAGCTGCTGATCTGATCCTGAGCCAGGGAGAGCCCTGTGCCCCGGTCCATCCGAGGCTGCCCTCGTTCTGTCTTCTCACGGTGGTGGAAGGGGTGAGGCAGCTCCCAGTTCTACAAAGGCGTGAACCCCTCCTCGAGTGCCCCATCCTCAGCACCTAATCGATCGACAAGGCCTCAAGCCCCGATTCCATTGCACTGGAGGTTAAGATACCGACACAGGAACTGAGGTGGGGGTGGCACCAACTCCAGTCCATGATACAGAATGAATGAAAATAAACAGGACCAAATACATGAATTTCTCTCCAATAAGCGCTGGGCGATACTTGCGCGTTGAAGGTCCCATCCAGGCGTGATCAGTGGTTGTCTGTCTTGCTATTACTTGGCCTGTCTCCCCTTCTTACTTCTTCCGTTCAGCCCCGTGTTTACTTCTCAAGGTGTTGTGAAAAGGAAAATGGTATGTAAGCAGTGTACTTCATTTAACATAACTGTGTTCCTGAAAGCACCGTAACACAGCTTTTAATGGAATGTTTTTTGCTGTTGCTTCCCTTTTTCAAAACTTGCTCTCTTCTTTAAAAACTGTGGTGCTGGATGGAGAGGAAAGGAACATAAGAAGAATTAAGTTATGTTCTGTACCTGTATCAGTTCCCCATGATGAATGTAATTATTATGTACTGCAAGCATGTATTAGTAAAAATAAGAATCTTTAAAAATTTTGGCAAAAAAAATACCAACACCCACCTTACCATCTTAACCAGTTTTCAGTGTGCATCTGAGTAGTGAGGGATGCTGACATTGTTATACAGTAGAGATCCGTCACTGTGTCATCCATTGAGCATTGAGACTCATACCTAGCTCTTACACCCCCTGCTGCTCCCGCAGCCTGAGGTTCCCGCCTTTTCCTGCTTCCCTGACTTCCCTTACTATGGGGCTTTCCTGAACAAAACTGTGCAGCATTTGTCCTTTGGTGACTGGCTTATTTTACCCAGCACTGTGTCCTTGATGCTCACAGTGCTTTCTGCTGGGGCAGGAAGATCATGTGTCACATGAGCCTCAGAGTTCAAGGCCAGCCTGGGCGACATAGCAGGACTCTGTCTCAAAGAAGGGATGGCTGTGGCCAAATTACTTGACTCTGGGTGCTTCCTTTACTGACCTACCTAGTCTTGTGCTCCTCCATCATGAGATCACTGTGGAACACAGGACAGTGGTCACTAGGCATTAGCGGGGGCTTCTTACTTATTGAGTCCTGAACCCCAGGGCAAGATCTGCTCTTTCACTGGGCTTGGGTAGATTCCTGAAGGAATCGGGGTCACAGATGTACAGTGTCCTAGTCCTGGTCAGACCTGTCCATTTTCAAGATGTTTCACCTCAGTTTGGTAGCTTGTTGAAAGGTAGTAAGGGATGCGTTTCTCAGGGAACGAGAGAAGGGGAAGTCAGTGTAGCAGGTACAAGGTTTCGGCTTGGGAAGGTGAAAAAGTTGTGACGATGGAGGGCAGTGGTTGCCCAACTATAAGAATGAACCTAATGCTCTGAACTGTGCACTAAAAGATACTTAAAACAATAGTTTTTATGTTAGTCTGCAGTGTAAAATATCAGTGTTGGAGGTCCGATGGTAAATGGACATTTGTTTCTATCTTTTAAAATAATCCCTGTGACGTTTTTATTTCCCAGATAGGAGCTGTTTGGGTCCGTAAAGCAGTTTTCCAAATGGCAGATGGTGTTTTCCTTTGATCCAGAGCAGTGCATCTGAAATCTGAACGCATGCGGGGCATCATGTGCAGCTGCAGGCTCTGGCAGGCAGGGTGGGCAGGGCCAGAGGATGGGCCTCTGCCCAGCTCCTGGGTAATACCGGACCACCCACCTGAGTAGTGAGGATTAAGACCATTTCTGAAAAGTATCTGAGGGTCATGTTACCAAAAATGAAGGCAAGCATGCTCTCGAACCCCTGCATAGACCGCCAGTGCTACCGTTGGAAGAGACGAAGGTGAAGGTGAGGAAGAGGGCTTTCTATAAGGCTAGGGAAATTTCCTCTGGCCCCTGGAAGCTTTTCTGTCTTCTTTTCCATTCCCCATCCTCCCTTCCAGCCCATTTCACCTCTTCTGTGGCCAGGAGTGGCATTGACTACAACATAGTAATTCTCAGGTGGACTAGAAAAGCAATTTAAAAATCCGTTCAGCCATTTGTGGTGGTGCACACCTGTAACCCAGCTCCTCAGGAGGCTGAAGCAGGAGGATTGCAAGTTCAAGACCAGGCCAGGCAACTCAGTGAGAGCCTGTCTCAAAACAAAAAGGGCTGGGGGTGTAGTGTAGCTCAGTGGTAGAGCGCTTGCCTGGCATGTGCAGGGCCCTGGGTTCAACCACCAGTACCACCAGAAACAAAAAACAAACCACAGAAATCCTACTTTCCATGTTAGGGACCACACAGAGCCAGATCCATTCAGAAATGAAACCTCAGGGACACTGGGCAGGAGGATGTAATAGTGCATTGTTTTGTGTGGCATCACAGAACAGCACCCTTTCTTATCTTACTCAGGTTGTATGAGGATTTGGGGCTTGATTGTGGTAGTTGAGGGAGGCTAGGAATATAGTTTTAATGTTAACTTACAACTTCCTTTGAACTCTAAAATCTAAACTACCGTTGGGTGAAGCTAGCAGTAGAGGACCAAAATGACTGCTGTGACTCCCAGCTCACGTATTACTCCCTGTGAAGTATGTGCAGATGGGAAGAAAGCAAATGAGCCAAGACATGCTCACACACTGGAGAGAAATACGCACCTGCAGCCTCCAGTGGCCGGGGCCCAGGGCCGCTCAGCCCCTATCCTGGTGTCCAGGATGACACCTGATTTCGACCTTCGAGGAAGTGTGCTGACCACCAGAAACATAAACGAGAAGTCTCAGAAGAGGAGATTTGAAAAAGCAGCGCCTCCTGCAGAGTGCAGACACAGCCAAGAGACCGCCCTGGTGAAGGGCAGCAGCGGGTGGTGGTCTCCCGAGAACCCGCAGGGGCTGCACGTGTGATCATGCAGTGCCCGTTAGGGATGATGCCGAACTGGGTCACAGGTTCTCAGTGAGAATATCGTTTGGCGAGATTGGGCTTTTTTATTATCTTTTTCTGGAAAGAGTCTCAGTTGGATTGCTTTGCTCCAGCTTGGAGTGATATCAGTTTACCTAATTGTATTTTAAAGAGTAGTTATTTAATTTACCCCAGTAAATGTCATCAAGGTTATTTATTCTGTGCGACAATTGCATTTGATTTTCAGTTTGAATTATCTTTATTTTGGGTCTTTCAAAATATTTACTTGTTGAGGATTTAATTTCCCACATCCAGAAGTACTTACCTTCCTTCATCCCCTCCTTTTATTTTATTTTATTTTATTTTTTGGTACCGGAGATCGAACTCGGATCTTTGCGCTTGCGCAGCAGGCGGCGAATCCACTGAGCTAAATCCCCAGCCCCTACCCCTGTTTTTATTTTTGACGAGTATAATTAGATTTGGTTTAAAAAGTTCTTCTCGTTTTATTGATCCACAAAACAACCATTAGATTCCCTGGCTGTGTAAAGACATCCCCAGCCCATTTGACAGCCAGACTTTTGAGCCCTGTGGGAAGCACAGTGCGGATTACTTCTGAGCCTGTGTCCCGTTAGCGCCCAGCTCCAGCATTCTTGGTTGGGTTAATGGAATGGGCCTGATTGTGCGAAACCTGGTGATGAGTTCATTAAGAGTAGTGACTTTTCCTTACATTTTTGTCATTTTCACACACTTCCTGCCCTGTCCAGCTCCCTCTCTCCCATCCCTCAAGCTTAACGCCAGCCTGTGATTTTCCAAGCTCATCTGCACACTCCTGTCTCCTGGAGGAATCTCCTACGGCCCGTTGAATGCTGCCAGTGGTCAGGGGCCAGTCTGGCACTTGTCTTGTTGCCAAGCAGATCTGTAAACCACCAGGAGTTGGAAATCTAGATTCCAATCTAGATCAGTGATTCCAACCCTAGGTACAAGTGGGAGCTGACCGTGGAGGGGAAGCATGGATCTCAGATACTCCAACTGGGTTCATTCCGCCATGAAGCCCAGGAATATACGCCTCTCTGCAGCCAAAAAGCTGCCTTCTCGTCTTCCGGGCTCAGCCAGCTGTTGGGCACAGGCAGCTGCTGGATGAGGAGGCCCGGCAGGAGGCATGGAGCGCTCACCCACCTCCTCCTACGAGGCCCAGATGGGAGATGTCTGGGAGACGAGTGAGCCGTGGCTGGTGAGGTCGCCGAGTAGGGCAGCCAGCAGGGGGGGAGCCTGGGGTGGCAGGACAGCTCCAGCTCGGGGAGAGCTGCTGGATGATGGGGGGCACGATGCAGGGTACGGCGGGAGAACA